CTGCTTTCTTCTGTTCGCATTGTCTCTTTCCATTTCCCTTCTCTTTTTGGGTTTTAGTCTCTCACTGGCTAACATTTGCTCTATGGCAAGTGACGGAGAGCTGGCAGGAGGCTCCTCGCCATTGGAGTGGGTTGAGTACAAGGCACCGGTCACTGCCTCAAACACCAGTGACGCCGTAGGGCTTTTCTCACAGCCCAGCGGCTGGTATTCTGGAAGTTGAAGAGGTCACGGTTTCCTGTGTGACTTTCACCTTGATTGCTGGTTTCCACCTTCACACCTGCCCTCCGCCATGCCTGTGTCCCTGAGGCCGAAACCTTCCGTGCAGCAAGTGTTAACAAATCCACTTTATTACTGGCTTCTCCCCCAGCTCTGCAAGGTGGGTGCTGCTAGTCTTGATTCAACTTTATAGAAGGTCGGGGAGGCAAAGTGAACTGTCCTGACACCCCACAGCTCGTCTCTTCAAGGCCACGCTGAGACGGGAGCCTGGAGTCACCCTCACTGCACGAAGGGACAGCTGCTGGTTCAGCTTTGGTTCCTCCCAAGGAAGTTGGGGAGTGCTTGCTGATTGAATACTGAATACATTTCAACCCTCTCAGTGGCAGACAGAGGGAAGCCACACGAGTGACGGCCCATGGCGCGTGCCAAGTGTTCAATAAACGCTGGTCGGATAAAAGAAACTGAAACAGCAGTGCGCGATACAAGATGTCACAGAATGGGGGCGCCTGGGGGGCTCAGTCGGTTAAGCGTCTGACCTCGGCTCAGGTTGTGATCTCGCGGTTTGTGAGTTCGAGCCCCGCATCGGGCTCTGTGCTGACAGCTCGGAGCCTGGAGCCGGCTTCGGATTCTGTGTCTCCTCCTCTCTCTGCCCCTCCCCTGCTCATGCTCCGTCTCTCTGTCTCTCAATAATAAATAAACGTTAAAAAAAAAAAAAAAAAGATGTCACAGAATGAAACCTAACTGCCAAACTCATGGCCACGTGAAGATGAGTATTTTGGAGGTGAGAAGACACAGTCCCGACTTGGGAGAGAACAGGGCTCCTTCGTTTACCACGAGAGGGAACCTGGCCAGCTTCTGACGGATTCCAAACTTGCACGTGGAAATTTCAAATGCCTTCAAATACCCGCGCCCCCTGACCGATAAGTTCCATTTTGGGACATCTACGGAGGGAGGGACAGAGCCCCACAACTGTGCAAGACAGCATGTTTGCCGCATCGTGGTTAATAACTTGAAAATGTCCAACAGGAGGGGATGGTTAGGCAAATTAGGGCTCGTTCATTTTGTGGGATCTATTAAAATGCATCCATTAAAAATGCATCTATTAAAAATGACATCTCAGCCAGAAAAGTGGGGGGGAAATGCCCACCAATAGATGAACAGATAAACAGAACACGGCCCACACGCGCACGTCCCTCGGCCGCGAGCAGGAGCAAGGCGCCCACCCCCACCGCCCCGCGGATGGATCCCGAACACACGATGCTCAGGGAGGGAACCGGCCATGAGAGGCCCCACGGGGTGTGAGTCCACGTGTGCGAAACATCGTGGGGGCTGGGGAGGGTGAGGGTGAGGGTGACAGCTAATGGGGGCAAGCCTTCTTTTTGAGCTGATGGAATGTTCTGGAATTAGATGGTGGCGACGGTCGCACATCTCAGCGAAAATAGCAAAAGCCACTGAGTTGTACACTTTGATATAAAGCAGCAAATTTTATATGCGTGTTACCACAATTAAAAAAGTCCTATTGCGAGGCCTGTGGAAGTATTAAATGAGAAAAAGTCTAAGCACACGCAGAACAACGAGGAATCAAAGTTGAGACGGCGTCACGTGGAGAAACGCAGGCATCAAAATGGTATAAAGGGCCGACCCGCCACCGAGAGAGCACGAGAGACAAGACAGGAAGGAAACACGGCGTGTGTTCATAGTACTCGACCTCGTTTCCACTCGTTCGCTTTTCTGAAACTTCCAGGCTTTTTGTAATGGGAAAACCCAACGCACTGAAGTTCCCTGGTGTGTTAAAATAGACGTAAAACTCACCGTCTCCAAGAGCACAGCTCAGCGGCGTCAGGCACACTCACACTGTCGTGCAGCCGGGCCCCCCCCCACCCCCGTGGGCGTCCAGAACTTTCCATCTCCCCAGACTGAGACTCTGTCCCCATGAAGCACGGACTCCCCGCCCCTGGCTCCCACCATCTACTCTCTGTCTCTGTGGGCGGGACTCCTCTAGGGGGTCACGCGGGACGTGTCCTTCTGTGCCTGGCTCCTGTCACCGTGCACAGTGACCTCCGGGTCCGTCCACGTGGTGGCAGGTGGCAGGACGCCCTTCCTTTTTAAAGCTGAGTGACATTCCAGTGTCTGGGCGGGTGGGCCACAGTGGGCTTGTCCATTCACCTGCTGATGGGCACTCGGGTCGTGTCCACCACTGGGTCGCTGTGGATGCTGCTGCTGGGAACGTGGGGGGTGCAAGTACCCGTATCCCAACTCTTTTTTTTTTTTTTTTTTTGTGCAGAACTTGAACAGACCCGAACGGGGCACGCCCCCCCCCCCCCCCCCCGCCCAGGCTGCCTGCTCCACCGTAGGAGAAACACAGGGCTCCTGGGAGAAATGGAGCTGGCATTTCCCCCCCAAACGCTGTCGACACCGGCCGAGCCTTGGAGATGCTCCCTGCACCCCTGGGGCGCGACTTATTTCGGACCAGGGACACGGCGGGTTCTCACGGGTGTCAGCGTTGCCGGCGGCTCTGGACGGAGCCGGCTTCCATTTTTGTCCTCCCCGGACCGCCTGCCAGGTGCGGCTCCAGCCCTGCCCACACTGCCCGCGTCATCCCTCCCACACTCACCGCTGTCTCCTAGCAACCGGGCTCGCCCGCCAGCATCCTGCAGCCTGGGGTCCAGGGATGCCGCTCCGGGGCCTGCCCCGCCTGCCACGGGGCTGGCTCCGGGGTCCCCTGCCGGTGGGAAGAGGGCTGCAGGGGAGAGACCAGAAGAGACGCTCTGCGGGCCGGCGGCAAGCTCAGTCGCCCAGACGCTTCGTCCATCTGGACCCGGTGCTTCGCTAACAACTGCTTGATTTTTTTCGGGAGTTGCTAGGGGGAAAGATTTAACTCCCTGTCAGCAGGATTGGCTTTAGGCCACCTGGTGCTGAGGATACTGTCCCCCTTCCCCAGGAGCCGGGGGTGGGCCAGCGAACACTGGGTGATGGCGTGTCCCCGAGCTGCCCCCCTGCCAGGATCTGAGGGAGGAAGCCGGTCCGCGAGCACTTGCGTGCGGGTCACGGCGGCAGGACACGGGGCTCCCCGCGAAGCTGTGACGACCGCATCTGGCAAGTCTCCGCTGCAGGGGCGAAGCCACCTTCCTTCTGTCCTCTCGCCCCTGCCTTAGCGGAAGCCTCTCGGCCAAACCGTGACAACGGTCTCCTGGGATGAGGTGGACGCGGACTGTGTCTTCACTGCCAGGAGGCACGTTCCTGTCACAGGGAGACTCCCCTTGGGGTGCCGGAGCACAGTTTCAAGCATGTGACACATTTACTGAGCTACCACCATGCACTTGGGTCTGTTCTGGCCCGGGGGATACCCACGGTGGGTGGAGTGGGTACGCGTCCTGCCCACAGAGAATTCATGTCGCTGGGGGAAGGCGGGTGGCAGGTGATTTTAATCAGTGACGTGTGGTATAAAGAAAACGAATATAGTTATGTGACAGGGAGAGGTGGTCAGGGAGTCTTCTTGGAGGGGACATCTGGGAGGAGAACCGAGGGAAGGGAGGGGTTGCCGGCCATACAGGTCAGAGAAGAGCTTACTAGGTAGTGGAAGTAGCATGTGCAAAGGCCCTGGGGTAAGAACAGGTTTGGCTGGTCTGAGGACAGCAAGAGACTGGTGGCTCTGAAGGGGCGTTACGGAAGGAGAGGGTGGCAGATGGGCTTTTGGGGGGCCTCATTGGGATTCGGAGTCGCCTGAATTTTACCACGAGCTCCCACTGCTGGAGGACTGAAGCAGCAGAGTACCACCGCGAGGGGCAAGCGGAGACAGTGCCGACGGTGATGGCTCGGGCTCGAGCACACGGGAACCCAGGAGGACTCCCCGGTGGTGGTGGTGGTGGTGGTGGTGGTGGTGGTGAGCCTGGAGAGCTGGGCGAAGGGCAGAGCCACCGCCGGAGGAGGCGGAGGATGTCGGGACCCTCCCTCAGACCCATCCCTTGTGCCCCATCTGTGGCCGCGGCCAGGAGCAGCTGAGGGGCTGGCTCTGACTCCTAGGGATTGTTGGGCTGCCAACAAGGAAGGGGGCCCAGGGCCCCAGAGGCAGAGGAGAGCGGCCTGCCCTCCCGGGGGGGGGGGGTGTGGTAGTGCTTAGGCACTGGCCAGCTGCTTCCTGCTTCCAGTTGATAACGTGCCCGTGAGAACCAAGCAGGGCGTCGCCTGCCTCAGGGGGCTGAGAAGGGGGTCTGCGTGCGCCCAGCCCGTGCTCTGACACACGCACCCCCACCGGAGGCCCACGCAACCCCCGCTCCCCTCCCCAGAGCCTGACCGTTGCCTGGGGACGCCCTGGGGGCTTGAAGCTGTCAGCAGCTCAGCGGTGACCCAGTCTCCCCATCTGAACCCCCCTCTGCCCCCTGAGGTTTGCAACGAGGGTTTGGGAAAACTCTGGGGAACTCCTGGTAGGGGACCTACAGGCAGAGAGCCCCCCACCAACTCAGCTTGGCCACCTCCTTCTCTAGGAAGCCCTCTGGGCCTTCCCGTTGATGATCATTTCTTGGACCAGGCCAAGACAGGGTGGTCATGGGGCCTGTGCAAAATGAGTGCTCCTCGGGGAGGGTCCCCAGGGCACCCTGGGGTGGGAATGGCCCGGGGGACCAACACACGGGGGCACAGCCTCCGGGCAGCACGCTGCTCACACTACGGCCTGAGTGTCAGAGAGAAATGCCGGCCGGCTGGGCACCCCCGCTCGGAGCCCTGAGGGAGCGGCGGGAGGGCGCAGCGGGGGCTCCGGACCCCAAGCAAGGACCACACAGTCCACACCGTGAGACATTACTTATTTATTCCCCACCCTCGCAAACTTTCAGGTGGCTCTACGGAGACATCAGACACAAAGGCACACTCAGACTGCCCCCTAAATACAGAAGCGCAATTTAAGGATTCAACTGACCACAGACGGCCTCGGCCCAAGGACAGACTTTTCCCCTTCAGTGCCGTGGGGCGACTGGGCAGGGAGGCTCGAGCACAGAAGGAGGACTGGGCAGGGCTGCCCCTCGTCCACCCGGGCTCCCGGCCCAGGCCCGGACCCAGACCTGCTGCACCCGGCGGGGGCGGGGGGGGGGGGGTGCGTGAGGAGTGACCGAGCAGCTCCCGCTCTAAGCAGAAGGCACTCGGTGGTACGGGGTCAGGGCAGACTGTGGGTCACAGACGTTTCTGGGGGGCCAGGGGTGCACCCAGCCTGCATCCTCACCGCCCCTGGGCCCTCCCACCTCCCTGAGGGTGGACGCTGGACGGGAAGATGCCAGCTCCGGCCCTGCAGACCTCTGGGGTGGGGCGTCTCCAGGTTGGGGTCTGGGGGTGGGGGTGGGGGATGTGTTTGGGGCAGGCTGGGCCCAGGGACGGGGGATCCCGGCCTGGGTGCGTCCTCAGGCTCGGCCCCACCCGCCGGCTCTCCCTGGCCTGTCCCTGTGATGTGGTTTCAAGTCCACGCAGGGCTGGGGCATCCGCGGGGAGCGCTCCGGAAGGCCACACACTTGGCGGGCCACAGGGTGAGCCCAAAGCCGGCAGGGTTTCGCTGTGCTGCACCTGCCAGCCCTCCACGGGGCGGGCCTTCGGGTGCCGGCTGCTGCCCCAGGGGGCCCTCACCCCGGGATAAGGTGATTTCCAGGAGGCTTTAAGCAAAGTGTTTTTAAAAAAACCCACAGATCGCTCCGGAAAGGAGAACACGGCCGTCCAGCGTCGGGATGAAGCGGCTGCGGTGAGGACGCGTCCGGGCGTACCCAGCGGGGGACGCTGCTCACGCGGGCCCCTCTCCACCCTGCCGGCCCTGCTTCCCGGGGACCTCACCCTTCTGGGCCTCGGTTCCTGCCTCCCGCAGCCTCTTCCGGAAGCGCGCCCCCGGCCTGCTTTTGGGGGGCGGCAGAGGGTCCATGCCCAGGATCTTGTGGATCTGCCGGAACGCCAACAAGCGCAGGGCGTGCTGGGGGCAGACGGCCAGTCAGGACCCTCCCACTGCTCGCCGCGGGCCCTGCACCCACGGCCCAGCGCGGACACGAGCTCACCAGGTGTCCTCGACGACACCCTTCCAGCAACCACAGAGCTCGGGGCACGCTCGGGCTTGGGGAGGCGCACTGCTCTGGGGCCAGCCGACGGCAGGACGTTCCCAGGAAGCCCTCGGAGCATCAGCCCCTTTCTGGGCTCTCTACTGGGACTCCAAGTCCTGCATCGCCACTCGGCCGTGACCGCGAGCAACTTGACTCTTCCCGTTAAGGGCAGTTCGTAAGCGCCAGGGTCCGTGTGGGTTTTGCGCCACGGGGAGGCTTTCTTACAAATAAACTTGCTAACAAAAGGGAAGCCACAGCGGGGGGCTGTGCGGGCCAAGCTGGAGGCCATGGCTGGGTGTCGTCACACCCTGAGACGTGGGGCCACGGAACACCCAGGAAAAGTCCCAGCCAGCAAAGCCCCAGGTGTGCACCTGCCTCACTGTCATGGCAGCTTCGGCCCTGAGCCAGGCTGGCCCTGCCCCCGTCACCCACAGGCCACCCTCCCACAGGCCACCTGTTTCTACAAAGGGAAGGAGAGGGGGAGGGGGAACCCCACATCGTTTCCGGGTCCATGCGTAGCCGCAACCTGGGCGGGGACCCGGGTGCCACGCCCGTCCTGTCCGAGCTGGCCTGGACTTGGGAGCCACACGCACCACACGGGCCGGCTGTCCTACCTGCGCACTGGCCGTGAGGTCCTCACGCTGCTGGCAGGTCATGGGCCCGAGGGCGTCCCTCTGGTCTCTCTCGCAGGGATCCTGGATCCCAGGCCCATCTTGTCGAGGAGAGGTGGGGGCCGCAAAGGACAAAGTACCCAGGGGAAGAGACCACCACCGCGGTTGGGCGGGTCCCACGCAGGGCCCACCCACTGCCCCCAAGCGTGCACCAGCCACACCCCTGTGTGCGCCTGGGACAGCCCTGGGACAGGACGGGCCGGCAGCACATGCCCCCTGCACGGCCTCTCCTGTCACTTCACCTGCCACCATCCTATGCCCTAAAATGACGGGAAAGCCCCGTTTCTGCATCTAACACCTCGATGGCTCAGCGCACGGTCTCCCTTTGACGCCCGTTATCTGCGACCCTGCTTGGTTCCTTTCCCAACATTCCCAGGGCTCTCCAGGGCTCTCCAGGGCTGCACTGCCCCAGGGCGGGCCCCTCCCTTGCCGGGACCCTGGACCCTCGTCCCTGCGCTGCTTCTGTGGCACGCAGTGTCTGTCTGGCTCCCGTCCCTTGTCTGCCTGGCACAGTGCTCCCAGGGTTTGCAAGTGGCTCGTTCTGTGCCTGCCACACCTGCTCTACTGTTCTGGGCTCCCCGGCCTGCGGGACTGACCTGCCAGGAGCATCCCCGAGGCTACGCACTCCAGGACACGCCTCAGGCCTTCCCCGGGACTCAGGGGCCCCTTCGTGCTGCTCAGGGCCTTCTCCACCAGCAGCTCCATGGCCTGGGCCCCGCGGGGACAGAAAAGACGACGCCGTGCCTCAGAGGGGAGCACTTGGGCCAGCTGGACTCTCCCCCAGGCGACAGCCGCGATGCACGGGGTCTCCAGCAGACCCTGGGACGGAGGCCCCTAGCAGCACTGTCCCTCACCCCCACCCATCCTTGACTTCTGAGGAGGAGGGTGGTCCCTGGGGCCTCGTCTCTGCCTCCCCAGGGCGTGGCTGCCGGCAGGTTTCTGCGCCTTCTCCGCATCCCGATTCTCCATCGGCAAAGCCTGTGCACAGTAACACTGCAAGCCAGGGTCAAGAGGGTTGAAGAACTGCTCTCTGTGACCCTCGTGCATTTAGTCAGGGTCAGATGACCCGTTGGCCTGCTCTGGCATGCTCCCCTCCCCAGGGAGCCCCCCTCCCTGTGGGGAGCAGTGGGGGGGGGGGTCTTGGGGGTGGGATCAGGACAAGCGTATTCTCTTGGGGGCGGTGCTTCTAGATTTACAGGGAAACGGGCTCCTGGGGAATGCGGAGCCCTCTCGGCGCCCAAATGGACCCACGTGTCCCAGAAGGAGTGGTGCCGAGAGCAGCGCCTGCCTCCTCTGGACACTGGGCAGAGAGAGCCCTTGGTCTGGGAGACGGTCCTCGCGGGTGAGTGAGGCCAAGGATGGCAAGGCCAGGGTGGGAAGGGTCTGCTTGCGCAAGAGCACGGCTCTGGGGGGGGGGGGGGGATGCTGGCAGCAGAAATGCACGCGGAAAGCAAACGTCCGTCCCCCAAAGTAAACGAGATGGACAGACTCAGACGTGCCGACAGGTGCACGGACACAGCACGGCGACCTGGGGTTTGGGGGCACGGGTGCCCTTGCCTCTGTCTTCTCTCCTCTCCCCTGATGGGCCCCAGGACTGACTGCCAGGGGCTGTCAGAGCCATGGGGGTCTCCCCTTCGGAAGAGGGAGGGCACGCACCAGGCGGCCCCGAGGCCAGTCCTGGGCACCCTTGCCTCACGTGCTCTCTGGTTCTGCCCGTGAGGTTGCCGGTTCAAGGTAACGGCAGGCTCATGAGGCTGTGCTCCGCAGCAGGCCTCCTCCTGGCCCCGACGGACCCCTAGGCCGCCCCCTCCCCCCCCCCCCTTCCTGGCTACTCAGTTGGGTCCCTTTTCGGAAAGCCCAACACTGGGAAGGGGGACCTCTGTCTCAGAGAAAATGAGGCCTGTCAAGGCTGTTGGAGGCCCTTGGGGGGCTCCCCAGGGCAGGGCCAGCCACGGGGTGCTGCTTACCCAGGCCGGCAGGGCCCCCCAGGTGGGCACGTGCTGGCAGAGGTCACGAAGGACCCTGATGACAATCACGCACGGCTGTAGGCCACTGGCTCGAGCCTGGGGGGGGGGGGGGGAAGAAGTACACCATTAGCTCAGGAAGCCACGGGCTCGTGGCCTCGGGGACAAGGGCTGACCCTTGGGGAGTGAGCCTGGCCGGGAGGGACTCTGGGTGTGGCACAGACCCGCTGATCCAGCCCGATTCGGAGCCTCCGGTACCCGCCATCCCCCAGAGCAGTCCGGGTCACTCCCTTTATGTTTCTGACAAGGGTCTTGTCGGGTCAGTGCTTGGCAAGGAGACGTGGGTAGCCATGCAGACGGCTGTCTCCCACAGCTGCATTCAGAGCCCGCTCTCCGAGCGCCGGGACACAGACGGAGGCCCCCTCCGGCCCCCTGACCTGAAACCACTTGGCGTGGCGGAGGGCGGCCAGGGACTGAAGGCACTTCTCTGGGCTCAGGATGTCTTCTGGGTCAGGCTGAGGCACCTGCCTTCCTTCTAGAAGGAAAGGGCCATGTGGGCACGGCACCCCTCACCACCCCCCTCGCCTCCCTGGGCCACGCGGCCCGGCCCCTCCTGGGCATCATCCTGTTGTCTGGAAGGCACCGGGCTCCAGACCACCTCTCCTCCAGGCCACGCAAGGACCAGAGAAGCCATTTCTGTGGAAATTCTCTCCCTCTGCGGGAGAGGTCCCACGAGGACAGAGCGCAATGCTGGTTACCGAGCACCTTCAGTGCTGACGCCCTCGGCTAGCAAATCACAGTTCAGATGGAAAACTATGAACTAAGCCAGATTTCCAGACGCTTCCATGTGCATCACAGCAAGGGAGAGAGCACGCTGGACGGGAACAGGTGCCGTCCTCGAGGGCAAAGGCCCCGCATCTGGGAGAAACTCTGGGGCCTTTTCCTGCGGTCTTTCCACTGCTTCACGCTCTCCGCCCCTCGCTCCGGGAGGCCCCGGGTCACAGAGGTCAGGCGATGGGACACAGCTTCACTCACGCATCGGTGTCCCCACGGGTGGGTCACAGCCCAGCCACTGCTTCAGGCTGAGATGGAACCGTCCGGGGTGGGTCTGGGAGGAGGGCATTTCGTCCCCGGTGTCGCCCTCTGCTGACAGTCAGCCCGGGGCCCGACACTCTTGTGGGGGACACAGAGGGGCGCCCTCCTGCCCACCCGTCTAGGAGCCTCGGATCGCTCACACTGCCTGACGCTCCCAGGCTGCCCTTGTTCCTGTGTTTGAGCAAACCCTAGCGGGGCCTGCAGCTAGGATTTCACGATGTCTCATCCCGCTGTGGTTATTTCTTACGTGACCATGACGACTGGTGATGGTTCCCGCCAATGGTTCAGGGTTCTGCTCCCCCAAAATTTAAGCGATAAAAATGAACTGATTTAAAGAAGCACGTTAGGGGCGCCCGGGTGGCTCAGTCGGTTAAGGGTCTGACTTCAGCTCAGGTCACGATCTCACGGTTCATGGGTTTGAGTCCCGCATCGAGCCCTCTGCTGACAGCTCAGAGCCTGGAGCCTGCTTTGGATTCTGTGTGTGTGTCTCTCTCTCTGCCCCTCTTCTACTCATGCTCTGTCTGTCTGTCTCTCTCTCTCAAAGATAAACGAACATTAAAAAAAGTGTTTAAAGAAGAACGTTAGAAGTTCGTGGCCCTCTGCTGTGACAAAACAATCATGAAGGGGGTTCAAGAATGACTGGAGTTTGGAAAACAGTTCTGGGGGCTGCTCCACGAGGTTCTGGGGCTCCGTGAGATCCACGGTGTGTTCCTGGCAGCTGGCCTTCACCGCAGCAGTGACTTGCGGCCCCTGCTGGCCCCTGGCCTGGCCCAGTGCCCTTCCCACTCTCTCGGCCAAGCAGCCTGAAGCCCTAGAGCCCCCATGTCTCACAGGAGAGGCCTTGGGACCCATGGGGTTGCCCGTGGCCCCTGCTACACAGAATCAGCTGAGCTCCCGGGGACCCAGCACAGCTGAGCTCCCTGGGGTGGGGAGCAGGTGTCTGTGCAGGCCCGGAGGCAAAGGGAAGAGGACAGTGCTCTGGAGCTCGTGTGACTGTCGCCACCTTGCTTCCTCTGCTGCCCCAAGGCCCAGTTCTTACCCGCCAGCAGCATCCAGGGCTGACAGAAGTGCCAGAAGGCTGGTGGCTGTGACCCCCTCCCCACCCAGAGCAGAGGCAGGTGCGGCCCCCGGTCACCAGGGAGCGTGGGGAGTGGGGCTGGACGGAAGGGCCTGGCCACACCTTGGTCCGTGGAAGGGTCCTCCCGCATCAGGGGCGAGGTGACAGACACAGCGACCCTCATCCTGGGCTCCTCGCAGGAGGAGATGATGATGTTGGCTTCGGGGTCAGAGGAGACCTCATACTCGTCTTCTGTCACCATCTGTGGGGTGCAAGTGTGACATGAGTCCAGGTCAGTGCAGCCGAGAAGCAGGTGTAAACGAGCAAGAATGCGGTCGAGCGCCAGGCCCTGTGCTGGGCGCCTGTAACCTCCGGAGGACTGAGACACACCCCCACCCTCTAGGAGCGCACACGCGTAGAGACGCGTACAGAAAACACCCTGCATGTAGGTGCCTTCACATGTAAAGAACGCCCGCCGCTCAACAACAACAAAACCAGCGATCCAATGAAAAAACCCCACAAAACCTGCGAGCGACAAAACAGGTGGTTTGCAGAAAAGAAACAGGGAAGACCCTTTTTACGAGATGACACAGATTACCCCCACGCTAAGAAAGAAGCAAATTAAAACTATAACGAGGCACCAGCATCGCCTCTGAGGACGAACCTCAAGAAGTCGAGGGGCAGCTGGGCTGGCAAACCTCTGTATAAACTGCTGGAGGCTGACCTGGCAACATCTACCAGAAGCATCTGGCCTCAAGCCTTTGACCAGCAATCCTGCCCCCCATCTTTCAAGGCGCCCCCCCGGCGCTTCGTCTCTAGCTCCATCCTGACGGGACACACACCTCCCACCATCCTGACGTGCCCCCTCCCTGCCAGTGCTCCCTCCCTGGCATCAGACTTTCATTTCTTCACAGACAACACATTGGAGGCTAGCTTGCTCTGGTGCATGTTCGTTCACTTCCTGACCAGAGTGGGGACCCCAGAGGGCGAATCTGGGTCTGCGCGACCCCCGGTGCTGGATTCTCCCGGGAACAGAGACAGACACACCAGGAAGGAGAGCCTCCTCCACCCCGGGAACTGATTTTTTTAACCTGAGACCCATTTAAATCATGATGTGCTCTCAGCCCTTCCCCAGTCGCTGTTTCGGGTGAGAAAGTCCCAGACAGTCCAGGGGAGGAGCCCAGGCCACCCGCCGCGGTCCCCTCTCGTCTCCCCTGTGAAGGGGGAGGGTCCTGTGCAGTCCTTGGCACCAACTGCCCTTGGGGTGGCTGGTAAGTCAGCACCCTCAGTGACAGGACACGGACATCCTGAGTCTGACCCTAAACTCGTTTTATAAAGGAGCCCCGAAGCTCCTCCTCTTGTCAACTTTTGTACAAAAACAACCCGGTCCGCGTCTAGCAGGCTCGCGCGGAAACACAGCCGCCCCAGCCGGGAGCCCAAGTGCCCGCCACGCACAGAGGCCGGGCTCTTACCGGGAGCCGCCGGGGCAGCTGCTCCGAGATTCTCCGCAGCAAGGTGTGGGTGGGCTTCTGCGAGCAGAGCAGGGTCAGCTGCACCGTCCTGTCCCCCCGCAGGAGGAGGCCTTTCGCCAGGAGGCCGACCCGCATCACGCCCTTCAGGACCCGGGCTCTGGGGGAGCCGCCGCTGTGGAGACAAGCCCGAAAACACGTGAGACCCGCAGGGCAAAGGATCTGGAGAAGGGAGTGCTGCCGGGGTCCCCCGCTCCCGCAACCACGGGCGCCTCGCTGGGCCTCTGTCTCAGCTCCCCCATCCGGGAAACGGGCACATGCGCCTTGGAACAAGACCGGCAAACTGCGCGCGCTCAGTAAGGGCGGGCATCTGCATTCTGTAAACGGCCACCAATGGCCATCCCTGTGGCCCCTGGTCTTCAGCCAGATGGCGCCACCCACACGGCCCCTGGCTCTGTGCTCCTTGAGCGTCTCTGGGGCCACCGGGCCCCCACCTCAGCTCCTTGGCTAGGAGGCCCAGCCAGGTGCTCGGCCGGGAGTCTGCCCTCTCTCCTCAGGCCCCGAGGCACCCGGACATGGTCCCCAAGTGCCCCCCTGAAGCTCAGGCCAGCTTTGCGCAGTGTGAGCCTAACTACAACATCTGCCCCAACACATCACCTCCTGGTGCTACCCCCTCTGCAGGTGGGGGACACCCCAGTTCTCCCAGGCCGACTCGCGGCAGCCATCCCCTCCCACACGGCCTCCCCTGGTCCCTGTGTTCCAGCCCCATGAGGCCGCTTCCCTCGCTGGGCCCCTCCCTCGGCGGGTGTCTACACAAAAGTCCCCACCAGGCTCCAAGAGCTGCCACTCTGTTTTGTGACACTTCTCGGGATAGGAGGGGACCTGATCTGTTAAAATCCATTTATGTTTGGGGCGCCTGGGTGGCGCAGTCGGTCGAGTGTCCGACTTTGGCTCAGGTCACGATCTCGCGGTCCGTGAGTTCGAGCCCCGCGTCGGGCTCTGGGCTGATGGCTCGGAGCCTGGAGCCTGTTTCCGATTCTGTGACTCCCTCTCTCTCTGCCCCTCCCCCGTTCATGCTCTGTCTCTGTCTCAAGAATAAATAAACGTTAAAAAAAAAATTTTAAATCCATTTATGTTTTTTTATATATTTCTTGGTTTCTGGACGACAGAGCGCTAGAGCCCAACATGGCCTGAGAGGAACAGGTCTGGGAGGCCACCAGCCAAATCCAGCCCAGAATGGCTGCGGACGGGGCTAGAACCAGACTCCACAGATTCCCACCTCCCGCGGGAAGAGGGGCAGAGAGCCGGGGCAGGGCGGGAGTGGGCGGGGGGGGGGGGGGGCGCAAGTAGACAAAAAGACACAGAGGTTCGTCAATCAAGCTGGATCCCAATTCACACACGCTGTAAAACAGAACAACCCACATTCTGATCTCTGCGGGACAACGGAAATTTTGACCCTGCTTGTTTGACGATGTTAAAGGGTGACTGACTGTTAAACTACAATGGTGTTGTGGTTTTGTTAAATCGCGAGTCCTTGCTGTTTAGGGAAGGCTACTGAAATCCTAGAGGGCACAGATTCAGAAGGCTTCCTTCCAAGAGACTGAGGAGGCCTCATGTGGAGTCCGTGGTTCGGGCACTGGCACCTGGCGCTCCCCCGGGCCTCACTGTTCCATCAACTTCTGTGCACGTTGGGGAAAAACACCCAAACCTAACGTGCTCTTTCCAACAGTGAATAACAGAACAGCCGTAGGACGGCTCGCTACGATCCTCGTAAAGAACGCATTTCCAAGTTTCGAAAATTAACCCAAGGACAGAACACGCGGCATGCCGTAAGCGTTACGTGAAGGCTTCAAAGAGCCAGGTCAGCTTTGCTGTTCGGGCACAGGGCAGCTGCCAGCCTTAGGGAAGGGGGAGGGCAGGGGCATGCAGGGGCAGCACGGGGACGCGCCCTGTGGAGGCTGACCCATCTGGGTCCCCACCCCTACTGTCCCGGGGCCACACGACTCTGCAGCTGCTGAGTGCTGTGGGCATGCATGACATTGTGCTGCTGGGGGATGGGGGGGCTGGTGGGGGGGGGGAGACCTGAGGAAGGCCTGCAGGTCCCAGGTCTGCCTGTGTCCACTGCCCAGCCTCCATGTTCAGTGCAGGACCACTGGGGATCCTCTCTCTCCCCTCTCTCTGCCCGTCCCCTGCTTGTGCTCTCTCTCTCAAAATAAATAAACTTAAAATCATAAACAATAAGCAAATGAATAAAAACAGAAAGAAAACCCATGCGCTGGGAGAAAACCGGAGGGAACACGGGAGCGTCACGTGAAGGGGTGCGGCGTGGCGCTCCTATGCACCCCACACAGCACCAGCCCAGGGAAGCCGGCCCCGCGCCCCTTGGAGCAGGGCTGAGGGCAAGGGTCACCCTGGGGCCAGACCAGCTCTCGTGTACCGGTGAGCGAACCCTACACCCGGGCAGACCTCGGAGCTGGGAGGGGATCTGGCCGTCTCTGCAAGGGCGTCAGTGCAGAGCAGAAAGAGCGCCTCTTTGCACCCCTGTCCACTGTCCTAGGGGAGGTCCCGAGTCTGAGCCCGGGGCTGACCCTTCGGAAGTCACTCACAGGTAGCACCAGGCGCTTCCTGAGGGCGCAGACGCTGGTAACAACCAGACCCCAGACGGGTCGACGCCACAGGGCTCCTCTTCTGCTCAATGTCCAGATCAGGCTGAGCGAGGGGACTGGGGGGTGGGGGGCAGGGGGCGAGGGCATCGGGAATTTAGCAGGGGCAGATTTGTGGCTGGGTCGGTGGGGGATGCAGTTCTGGAAACAAGGTGGTGAATGCCCTCCGTGCCGCCGAACCGGACCCATGAAAACGGTTCAGGCAGTACATTCCGGGTTACGTTTTACTGTAACACAGACAAACTCCACGAGGAGCCAAAGCAGCAGGCCCCGGAGAGAAGGGACTTGGACGGGCTGACTTCCTCTCCGACTGCAGGCGGAGGGGCTTCCCCGCCCCGAGTCACAGGAAGGAGTCGCAGTGATTCGTGGGGGCCCAGTGGCATCTCTCGCTGGGGGGCCTTCGTCGCCCTGTGAATCACGCTTCTCTCCGTTTGGCAGACCAGGAAACAGATGCCGTTAACCCTCCGTGAATGGCACTGTAGCTGCACCTTCCACAGGAAACGGCGGTCTGGGAAATTTTCTGCCCGTGGCTGGAAAGCCCCAGAGACCGCGGACAGCTCAGAGGCCGTCCCAGGTGAGGCGGCCTCTGCCCCCCTGCCAGCCATCTCCTGTCCAGAACGGCTTGAGGTCACCCCTGGGCCCTGGGAACAGAGAGTAGCCTCCACTACCTGTGCTCGCCGCCCTCCTGCTCTGGGCTTCCGGAGCTCTCCTCGGCCAGCACGTCGGACACCAGCTTGAGGGCGCGCTCCACGTGGGAGACGGCCTTCTGGACGGCCAGGAGCTCCTCCTCCGTGGGGTAGATGGCAGCATGTGTCCACATGACATGCCGATCATCGCTGGACTCCGGCCGCCGTGTGGGCTACAAGCAAAGGGGAGAGTGTCACAGGCGGGCTGAGAGGCTCCGGCACCCGGCAGGTAGGGGAGGGGACGAGGGTCAGCCCCGGCTGCCGCAGGGCACACGCAGCCCTGTCCGGGGATGGGGAGCCCCGAGAGAGCCAGGTGAAGGAAGGCTAGGGACGCCCGAGGCGGTGAGCCAGAGAGGACCCAGGACTGCGTGGGGCCAGTGGGCTCCCCTCTGTGGTGGTCTTACATGTCTGAGCCAGAGGCTTCGCAGCCACCTCGGCGGGGTCCTTCCCCTCGGCAAGGTGGGCACGGGGGGCTCCCCACCCACCCTGGCCCAGCGTGCGTGGACAGATGGACGCTGAGGCTCCAGAGGGAAACGGTGACCGGGGCCCCACAGCTAGGAACGCCTGTGGCTGGTGATGGGACCCACGCCTGGGGCCCCTGTCCGTGACTGGTGACGAGGCTATGGCCCTCAGGCCCTCCAGCTCCCACCCCGGGCACCCTTTGGGGGTCCTCGTTCAAAGTCATGTTCCTCACTCCTAGAAGATTCAGGTCCTTGTAGGGAGGGCCTGAGAACCTCACCCACCCGTGGGACCTCAACCACGGGAGGCATTTGGCACAAAGACAAGGCTGCCACCCACCAGAGGTGAGCCAGTAGGTGCCCCCGGCCTGCTCGGGAGGGAAGGAGGGGGCTGGTCAGGTGGCGAGGGTCCAAGGTGTTCTTCCTGGGCCTGTGGCCCCTCCTCCAGTCGCCTCCTACATAGATCGTAGCGCCTGTTGGGGGGAAGAGGGGGGACAGGTTGCTCTAAGCAGCCGAGGGTCCCCTGGGCTTGTCACATCAGAGCGATGCTAGGTGAGGTTGGGGCTCCAGGACCTCCAGGGACAGACACAGTAGCCTGATGGGACCCTGGGAGCCCACCTCCAGGATGTGGGTCCTGCACAAATGCCCACCGTGTATCAGGGAGACTGAGGCCAGGCGGGTCGGGAGAACATATGCCAAGGGCAAGAGGCAGGGAATGAAGGACAGCTGCCATCCTGAGTCTGTCCTGGGTCTTGCTCTCCAGCTCAGACACTGCCTGGACCTTCCGAGCATCAGACACCATGTCAATAATGCTTCGAACCTGCTCCAGAGGGCGAAGGAGGATGTGACAAATGCATGGGTGGTCAGGGGACATGAAGATTCAGGGGGACACAAGGAACCCTAAGGTTCAGGCAGAGACCAGAGGTCTGGAGTACATAGGAGGTCAGAGGGACACAGATACCAGGGGATCCCGGGGTCAGGGAGACAGAGGAGATCAGGGGATTCTGTGGTCAGGGGGACATAGGTCAGAGGACACTGGGGTCAGGGGGACACAGGAACTCAGGGGAACTGAGGTCAGGGTGACACAGGAAGTTGGGGGACACAGGAGGTCAGGGGAACTGAGTTCAGGTGACACAGGAGGACGGGGGACACAGGAGGTCAAGGGACACGAGAGGTCAGGGGGACACCGGAGGTCAAGGGACACCAGAGGTCAGGGGACACAGGAGGTCAGAGGGACAATGGAGATCAGGGGACACTGGAGGTCAGGGGACACCGGGGTCAGGGGGACGCCAGAAGTCAGGGGACACTGGGGTCAGGGTTCACGGAGACGCGGGGCGTCCCTGTGAAGTGGGGCCCAGAGCACCTGTCCCATGGCTGCCGTGGCTGTGCCGTCCTGCGTGTATTACGACATGCTAACGCAGGCCCTGAGCCTGACCATCTCTGCCAAGGGCGGTGTCCCCTGCCCAGCTCGCAGGGGTGAGCACCCGGGCCTGGGGCCTGAAAGGGAGCAGAGGGTGTGCGGGAGGGTGAGGCAGCCGGCGGGGCCCGCGCACCTCATCTCGGCGTGCCAGCGCCGCATCCCCTCCAGCCGCTTCCTGCTCAGCTGCCTCTGCCGCCTCAGCCTCTCCTCCAGCAGCTTCCGGGCTCTGGGGCTGGGCGCCACTGCGACCGGAAGGTCAGGGTCCACTTTTTTCTGGAAAGGGCAAGAAGGGCTGTGAGACGGGAGACCCTCTTTAGACGAGGGCCCGGAGCCCAGGGAGCCCACACGGCCTTCTGTGGCCCGACTCGACGCTGCCCAGGTGTGGCCACAAGAGCCCACGCTGCCCAGGGAAGAAGGAAATCGGCAGCACCGCGAGACCCCACGGCCGACCGCTGACCAGTCGCCGCAGAGCCAACCCAAGATGTTTATTTCTAATCAAGGTCGCTCGGGGGAAGCGGCATCTGTGTGGAGTTCAGCAATCCGTGTTTTCCAAAGTATCTCAGATTCCCTCCTCGACTCCGTGTTGAGCGTTTACTTCTATCATCCAGAAAGTGCAGCACCGTCTAAGCAGCGTGGGGTGGGAACAGCCCGTGTGTCCACCACGCACGGGAGCGAGGCGCCCACCCCCGCCGCCCTGCGGACAGACCCCGGACACGCGACGCTCAGGGAGGGAACCCGACACGAGAGGCCACACGGGTGTGAGTCCACGTGTGTGAAACGTCCAGAACAGGCTCATCCAGGGACAGGAGGGGACTCGTGGGGGAAACTGTGGGGGCAACTGCTGATAGGGGTGGGCTTCATTTGGGGGTGACGGAGTGTTCTGGAATTACAGAAAGGCGATGGCCACAGCTCTGTGCAGACGCAGCAGCAAAAGCCACGAACCTGTGCGTTCACGTGGGTAAAGCGTGCAGCGTGCGGATAACATCTCAATAAGGCTGCTAAAGAACGGGGAACTAGCCACAAGCCGCTTTTTACGTGGGCTGTGCACAGACACGCGCAAGGCCGTGTGCACGCGTGACAAGGCCCGGTGCCCTGCACACCTGAGAGAGGGAGACAGCCGGCAGCCCCTCTGGGTGAGCCCACAGGGCTGACGGACCCAACAGCCGCCCCCCTTGTGTGGGGGGCGGACCCCCTAACAAGGACCCTGCTGGCGTCAGAAGGCCCTCGGCACCCGGCACCCGGACCCCTTGGAGGCCGGGCTCCCCGAAGATGTGGCTCAGCCTGGACAGCCCGACGCCCCCGTGGCAGTAGCAGCCCCTCGGCCGTGACCTCCCGGCCCCCAGGTGCCCGCTCAGCCCCGAGCCCCGTCTCAGCTGCACGCCAGCTCGGGCTCCCGGCAGAGGCCAGAAGAGACCCCGGCCGGGGCTGGGGACAGGAGGCGGCCTGCGTGAGCCTGTTCTGCGTGCTCCAGGACGCCCTGCAGCATCACTCAGGCACGGTTTTCCCACCACACGTTCCGCATCAAGAGACCACGCGCCATGAGCAAACACAGTTCTGGGTTTTCCTTCCGGCAGCGGGCAACGCCAGGTCTGGATGCTGCTCGAGGGGCCGGGGTGGGGGTGGGGGGGGCTCAGCCTCGGGGGACAAAGGGAGGATGCGGACCCGGCAGGTCCTCCCCAGCCCCTCGCACCTTGTACTGGAGCCGGTGCCGCCGTCCCCTCACATGCAAGTCCCTGGCGGTGCCATCGTTGAAACTGCAGTCACACAGCCGGCAGTGGAACCGGATCACCTTGCCCTCGTCGTTACACACCTGTGACACAGAGCTCAGCTGAGTTAGGGCTGCCCCGCAGCGGGTCTGGTCTCCGGGCAGGGTCGCCTCCCGTCACCTCCAGGGCGCCGGGACCTCCTGAGGGTCCCCAGGCCCGCGCGCTGGCTTCCCGCCTGCCAAGTGGGTTTCAGGGTAGCCGGCCTTTCACCAACACGCCCGCCAGTGCCCCGGGCCACCTCTGCCACTGTCCCGCCCCCTCCTCCTCCCACTGCCCCACCCCCACCCCAGGCAACAGAACCCACGGCCCAGGCCGGTCCCCGCAGGGCTCTGGCCTCCGCCCCATGGTGATTTCTACCCATCACAGGCCCCTTCTGTGTTTCCTCAGGCTTTTCAGCACCTTACTATCTCCTAACTGCCCAACCACAGGGCCTCCCGTGGCAGCAATCTATCTGGGTGGTTATTTCTCCAGACAAAACAGAAGATGCTGAATTGGTCAAACAAAAACATCACCCTGAGGACAGAAGAAACGCTAATGCTTTCAGCCACGGAGGAGGAGGTGAGGCTGGGACTACGGAAGCGGAAGCGGGGAAGCGGCCGGCCGGGAGGCGGCTTCCAAGTCTGGTTCTAGAAGGCTGCTGGAGGCAGGCCTTGCAGGGCCACTGCCGGGGCTCTGGGTGTCAGATGCTGGCCACGCAGGGTGCACACCGGCTGCTAAAGCCCGAGAATCGCGTGCCTGCGGGGAGAAGCTCGGCAGGACACAGATCCCCCTTTCTGCCTTCCTCCCAGCGGGAAAAGGCTCAGGAAGTGCCGGTCTGTCTCAGGATCTGAAGCCCAGGGCCCGGGCCTTCCCGCGGGCTTCTCCCGTGGACAGGTGTGTATACCTCAGGTGGAGAGCGGGGCGAGATCTTGAAGTCTGGGCCCTGCCCAGATCCTCTGCCACGGCCCAGTGACAGGGCGGGCGCACACCGATGGCCCCATCACGACGGCTGCCTGGCAGTTACCTCCTCCACGTAGCCTGGGCCCACGGGCTGCACATCACACCTTCCAGAAGCTTCTGCAGAGCCTCCTCCGGTGGGCGGTTCCCCAGACCCATCTGATACGAGGTGTGCCCCTTCGGGGAGTCTGCTGCCTGCTGCCTGCGGCTCGGGGGGCCCTGGAAGGGAGGACTGCGCTGCTTACAGCCCGCTCCGGCCGGAGACAATGGCTGGCTTCCAGTCCGCCAGTGTGGAGGGTGGACAACATGCAGACCGAGGTCTCCTGCTGCCCAGTCACCCGCATCCCCAGCCCCCGTGACGTCAGTCAGTCAGATCCAGGTCCCGAAAGACCCTTCTGGGCCGGCCCGGGTCGCAGCTGGGCCGCCCACACAGGGTTTGGCGGAAATCCGAACGCATCCACAGAGAGCCCTGTCGCCGGGGGGCCGCCGCCCCCCCCCCGCCCAGAGGAGCCCCCAGCCGCTCCAACTCTGCATCCCTCAGGTGACGGAGGACAGAGTTCTAGGTGGCCTGGGGACACGGTCAGCCCAGCCCCGTGGGGCAAATTCACCGGGCCTCACGGGGGAGACCCATCTGTTAGCCATGCTGCTTCATGGTTTCACCTTCAGTAGCACGTGGTTACTCAAAACACGGCGCTGCTGAGGCTCAAAGTAAGGTAAGTCCTCCCCCTGCTTCCAGGGTGCAGCAGGGCAGGGGACGCAGAGCCTGCCTCGGCCGGACCTGGGTCTGAATCGCATCTGCACCGCGTGTGAGGTGGCCGGGGCCTCGCCTCACCTGTTTTTCCCTCTGCAAACTGGGATCGTGACAAAAGCTACTTTTGGGAGTCGTGGAGGGTAAATCAGGCGGTGGCGTTAAGCAGTCGGTGGAGCGAGGGCATCACACACAATCCTAGCTACCCGCCCGGCTGGTGCCACCTGGCTGCCTCCACTGCCCAGGCCACGGCGGGTGCGCCCCCACCCAGGGGAGACGGGCTGCAGGTGGAGTGGCAAGGAGCCCCCCTTAACTTCCCGGGACCCACCTAACTCCTCAGAGCCCGCTTTGTTCGCCACGAGCACCGGGGTGGGAGAGGCGCTACCACGGTGTGGCCGGAAGGTGCCTGCCTCTCCCCATCCCCGCTCTCCATCCAGAGGCTCGTCCCTCCAGAGTCGGGATGGCGGGCACGCACGCACACAAGTTAAATGGACAAGCGCTTCCTTGAAATCCCAGCGTGAGGAGTGAGTCAGGGCGTGGGTGGCTGGCTGTGACACGCAGACACGTACCCAGGCGCGAGGCCTTCAAAGCCGCCGGTCTCCTGGCCGGCCCTGGCTTGCTCAGGGCATGCGCGCTGGGGCCGGCGGGGGCTGTGGGCTTGGCAGAGGCCGTGGGGGGACTCTCCGCGATGAGGGGGGCCGGCCTGCTGGCGCCCGCGGCCGTGGCCGAGCTGGAGTTCCCCGGCACGGGTTCTATGGGGGGGATGGGCTTCCCCAGCTTGCTGTGCAGCTTGAAGACCTGGAACAGACCCAGGTCCCCCGTCAGGCCTTCTCTGGGCCTCCTTGGCCTTCCTGAAGAGACGGGAAGAACACCTAGGGGGTGTGCAGGGCTGGGAGCCTACGGAGGGGAGGGCGCCGCTCCCACCCCAGCCCCCAGTGACACGCCCCGGGCTCTCCAGCCCCACTCCTTCTAGAAGCTCCTTCCTGCTTCCAGGCCCTACCAGTCCTGCGCAGGCAGGACCTATAACACGTCAACACCCTGTGCTGCCTAGGCCCACCCCCCTCCAAATGGCACTGGCTCGGGCTGAAAGGGCCATTTTCTGCAACCCCAGCGCCAGCCCCGGGCCCGGCCCGGACGGGACATGGTGTGTGTGGTGAGATGTGTGGCCAGAGGCCACTGCTAAGATGTCCACGGACACTCCACCTTCTTCAGGGATGTGTGGACACATCCACGGACAAAGATGCACCCGGGGGGGCCCCCCCCCCCCCCCCCCACCCCCGTCAAACGTACTTACTGGGAGGACTGACTACCACCTGCAACGTCCTCGCGCCAACTGCCTCTCCCTCCCTCAACTGCCGCGTTTGCCCCGGGTCTGACGCTCACAGCTCAGACCCGCCCCCGCCCAGAGCTGACTGCAGGCCCTCCCGGACCCGCAGGACAGCCCACCCTTCCGGGGCCCCAGTTCTCCCGCCTGCACCCCTGCGCGGCCAGGCCTGGGCACCCCCTCCCCGCCCTCCTCCACCCGCTTGCTTCCCCTCCTCCACGGGTCGCTCTTTCCTTTGAGGGGTTTGTGGGTTCCCTCACGCCTTTGAGAGCCTGCCCCGGCCGCGCTGGAGACGAGGCTCTTGAGGAGTGCAGGGGAGAGGACGGGTCCCGCGGCGGGGGGCGGGAGGAGGGCCAGCCGTGAGGGAGGGCACCTGGAGGAGGTTCCCTCCTAACCCTCCTGCTCGGTAACCACGCGGCCTGAAGCTGGTTCCCCAGGAACGTCCCCTCCCGCCCTCGGCACACGCCCCCTGTGACCAGAGTCACCTTGCAGGTTACCACCACCACCTGGGAAGGGGGCTGCTTTTCCAGAAGCTCGCTGTGCAGCACGGGAAGAGCAGACCCCCGGGGGAGAGGCAGGTGTGTCCCGACCTTCCCTCAGGTGGGGATCCCATCAAGTCTCTCCATAAGAGGACATACTATGTGCATTCTGAAGGCCGCACAAAAATGCTGATGTTAAGATAGGAATATGGGGCACCTGGGTGGCTCCATCGGTTAAGTGTCCAACTTTGGCTCAGGTCAAGATCTCAGGGTTTGTGAGTTCGAGCCCACATCTGCTGACAGCACAGAGCCTGCTTTGGACCCTCTGTCTCCCTCTCTCTCTGCTCCTCCCCTTCTCTCTCTCTCTCTCTCAAAAGTAAAATACAAAAAGCCATAAAATAAATAAAATAGGAATACATATTAAAAGCACTGATGTTAAGTAATTTCATATCACTTAAAACATTGCTATTAAAATTGACATTAAAACTTAGCATTTAAAAATTTTTTTTAACGTTTATTTATTTTTGAGACAGAGAGAGACAAAGCATGAACAGGGGAGGGGCAGAGAGAGGGAGACACAGAATCTGAAACAGCTAAAACTTAGCATTTTAGGGGCACCTCTGTGGCTCAGTCAGCTAAGCGTCCACCTTCGGCTCAGGTCATGATCTCACAGCTCGTGAGTGCGAGCCCCGCGTCGGGCTCTGTGCTGACAGCTCGGAGCCTGGAGCCTGCTTCCGATTCTGTGTCTCCGTCTCTCTCTGCCCCCACACCCCCACTCGCACTCTCTCTATCTCTCTCTCCAAAATAAATAAACATGAAAGAAAACTTTTTTTAAACTTAGTGTTTTCATCATATTCGTTTAATTTGACCAGTTTATCTTTAAAAAGCAGAACTTCAAATGGAACACGTGGTTGATCCCCTCAACACACAAATGCTTATTTCCATAAACACGTAAACACACCTACAGCCCAGAAGGTTCCCTCTGGGGTCCGGGTACGAGGCCCGGGCACTGCTCCATGCTGTCGTCCCACAGGCAGGGTGACTTTAATAGCAGGGAGCTATAAGCTCCTTGCCTTTGGCGGCCGCCCCCTCCAACCCCTCGGCCGTGGTGCCACCGGGCTGTCGCCTGGGAGGACTCCTACCTTCTGGTGCCTGGCCCCCCGGATGTGAGCGGCGTAGGCGTCTGCCCCAGTGCAGGACACGGCGCACAGGCCACAGTGCAGCTGTGTCTGCGCCCTGCTCGGGCTGCCATCAGGCCGGGTGCCCATCTTCTGAGCCGCCTGTTTCCTCCTGTGCTTCTGCCCTTCCAGGTGCTCGACGTAGGTCTGCAGGCAGAGAGGGAGAGCGGCCTGAGGGGCGTGTGTGCGGTTCACTCGTGGGGGAGGCGGGGGCCTGTGGCCCCCCTCCCCGTCCACCGGCCACCAAGCCACTTTATTAAACCCCGTCAACAGGCTCAGAAGCTCAGGCTGAAAAACGTAAGGTTTCTTTTTCTTTCTCTTATCTGAAAATCAATAAGCAAGTGTCCTTGAAGAAACACACACGTGGTTTCAGAGGCTTCTCCGAAGGAAAACTCTGGCCGTGCGGCATCTGACCTCGGAAACCACTCAAGGACACACACGACCACAACAGCAAGGGCACGTTTCCTCGTTGGAGTGCGGCTACGAGGGGTCCACGCGAGGGAGGCTGCCAGGACTCACAGGCCTGAGCCCAAAGGATCTGGCAGCGTCCGGCAAGTGACCGGACTCCTCCCTGGGAATCCTGAGGACAAGGCCGGCCGCAGCGAACACCCCCAGAGTGGGCCCGTTAAACCAACGCGCTCTGACCATGCCAAGGGTCAGCATGCCCTGCAGGGAAGAGATCTCGGGGAAACCCACACGGGCTGGTTCGGGGGCAGGTGGGAAGCGGGGACAGGAGCAGGAGGGGACACTCTCTGGGACACAGGAAACCTGTGAGCATTTACCCAAGCAACAGCAGGTGCGCACGCACATGTGCACGCGCGCGCGCACACACACACACACACACAGTGAAAGCCTTGGGGCAGAGAAGAGTCTAGAAGGACAGAGCCCACGGAGCTGCAGCAAGTACGGCAGCTCCGGCCTGCGATCCCCACGCACCACCCTAGTTAAGTCCCGCGGCTGCCCACAACCCGGGTCTGACCTCTAGCTCCATCGCCATGGCAAGTGCGAGTTCCTGGGTGCCCGGCCCCCCCTGAGCCCCTGGCCTTCCCCTGACACGGGGAGGCGGTGATGCTGCAGTGGAAGGATAGAACGGCCGGCAGAACACGCTGCAGAGCTCCGAGCTCAAAGCAACAGGACGCGTTTGCAGTGGCCGTGCGGCTACCGGACTCCTCGCCGTAAACGCGTGCGTCGTGTGTGAAGAGAGACAGGGAGACAAAGCAGGGAGGAGTGCTGGGAGAGGTCCCTGTGCCCCTGGCTGCACGGTCACCTGGGCCGCCCCAGGGGAGAGAGGCTACGGAGACGGACGCCCGGACAGGCACCAGTACTGCCCGGGCCCGCGGGAGGCCAGCTGACGGAGCTCCGCGCACAAGGTGATGGAGTGGCGGGCGGGGCGGGGAAGGGCCAACTCAGGAGCCCGACGTGGCTGCGGAGGCGGGAGCCGGCCCAGGTGACAAGGTCACACTGAACAAAACGCACGCACACGTGCAGGTGAGGACAAGCACAAAGAGAGTGCCGTGGGGGCGCCCGGGGGGGGGCCCGGTCGGTTCAGCGTCCGACTCTTGATTTCGGCTCAGGTCACGATCTCACGGTTCTGGAGTTCGAGCCCCACGTCGGGCTCCGTGCTGACAGCGTGGAGCCTGCTTGGGATCCTCTCCGCTAGTCTCTCATGAACTCTCTCTCTCTCTCTCTCTCTCCCTCTCTCTTGTTCCTGCACACGTGCACACACGCTCTCTCAAAATAAACTTAAAAATAAATAAAAAGAAGACAAAATTAGCGCACTGTCCTCTGTCAAGATGGAGCCCTAGCATCTGACGACCTTTCCAGAGCGCCAGCTGGGTTATCTGTGAGCAGGGCCGGGGGGCGTCCCTCTCAGAAAACAGCACACACACACGCACACGCGACACACACGCACACGCGCACAGAGCACACACACCCTTGCTCTCGTCCACCAGGCACCCTGCTCTAGGTGCGCCTTTGCTCGAGCAGCCCTGCCACGAGGGTGCACCCCCCCCCCCAGGCCTCTCGGAACTGCCCCTGCTGCACCCATGGCTGCTCGCAGGAGGGGGTGCCGCCTGCCTCTGCCCGTGCTCCCGCCGCCAGCGGTCAGCACTGAGCCTGCCCTCGTGTCCTCCACAAGCGCGCCGGAAGGGCAGTTCTGATGTGCCCGTGTCACCGCCAGTTCCGGAACAGGACACCCCTGACGTGGGGCTACCCGAGGCGGCAGGACGGTCCCCGGGAAGGTCCCCAGGGTCTGCTCGGCGCGGGGTGGAGGGCAGCTGACCTGGGGGCCGGCGCAGCTGATCTTGCAGACGTCACAGTAGTGAAGCAGGGGCTGCCTGGGGCCACCCTTGGGCTTCGGGGGCTTTCTGGCCAGGCTGCCGGCAGAACCGGCCCTGGGGCTGTTCCCGGGGCCGCCCCACAGGGAGCCCATGGGCTCTGGGGGTGGGGGGGGCGGCCGGGGGGGCGGCGGTGAGGGGCGGTGAGGACCGGTTGCCGAGCGCTCGGCCAGGTCACAGCTCGGGTGGCTCGATCCTAGGAAGCAGAGAGAAAACCCAGACGGGGCGCCGGGTTGGCTGTGGCGCCTCTTCAGGAACGGCCTGTGCACACACGGAAATGCGCCCTACCTGCGTCCAGGGCAGACGTGGGGCTGTAGGAGGTCGGGGTGTAGGAAGGCAGGGTGGAGACGGAGGCCGCGGGCCGAGCGCTGGCAGCCGGCAGACAGGTGTCGTTCTCCGTGCAGCTCAGGGCCAGGGTGCTGACTGGCTGTCCTGCGTTAGCGGTGGCCGCCTGCAGCAGGGGCTGCGCTTGGCCGTACCCACCGCCGGGCCAGCCATGCGTTCCTTTAGTCCCTGAGGGCAAACAAAACCTCTCTGCAAAGCCACCCCTCTGCCCCCAACCTCCCCCCTCCCAGCAGTGGGAATCCCGGCCCCCCGTAGCCGTGGCAACGGGCCTCTCCCTCTGCTTAGAACCAGCACGGTCCCAGGTGCTACTGGCCTCGAACTCCCTGGAAGTCTCAGCTGCAGCTGGAGGCCAGGGCCCCGGCCTCTCCCACCCCTGAAGTCCAAGTCCTCAGCAGAACCCCCCTCCTTCCAGATCTCCTTCCAGTTCCGTCTCTCTGCCTCTGCCTCTCTTTCCTTCTCTCCCTCTCTCTCCTACACAGGCCCGGCCCTAGTTGAGACTTCGGCGCATATTTGAGAAGGCAGCCCTGACAGTCACACAACCCAGCCTGGACCTCCTACGAATTGGGCAAGTTTAAAATGTGGCTGCGCGGCGGCTGCTCCCACAGTGAAGCCGGCGGCCCCTTACAGAGGCCCACCTGGCTGGCACGGCACGGCCGAGGCCGGGAGCCGAGGCTGGCTGGCAGCGGGCAGGGGATCCTGTTTGTTCTCGTAGCTGCCGGCATCCGTCGCTGGTTCGCGGCTGTAACCGTCCTGCGAGGGGGTTACCCCGGAGAGACACGGAGCAGGGAGAGGGCCCCTCAGGGCAGGGGCAAGGCGTGCCCTCGCCGGCCCCGCACGCGACTCGGCTCACGTTCACAGTTCCTGAGCTCCGACTCTGACAGGCCGGTTCAGGAGCTGGGGACGCAGCGACCAGCGAGCTGGACGTGGCCGCTCTCGTGGAAATGTTGACGTGTGAGGGCAGAAGCGCTGTGGGCAATGCCCAGCCTGAGACAGCTTGCACGGGAGCAGCGCAGGGAGGGTGGTACGTGAGGACGTGGGGACAGGGTTCCCCGCAGGGTCAGGACACAGAGGCCCCCACGTGGAGCCAGCTGGTGGGCTTGCAGAAGACGGAGGCGGTCAGAGCAGGGGACTAGGGGCTGGGGTGACAGCTGGGGCCAGGGACTCGGGGAGGGTCTGGGTGACGTGCAAAGGAGCCTTCGGGTCGTCACGTGGAACAGGACCACAGGCAGGTGAGCGTGAAAGCGGGGGTCAGGAGCGGGCCCTGGGGACGGGCTGCGGGGAGATGCCTCAGAGGCCTTGGGGAAGCAAAGGCAAGGGACAGAGGAAGAGGGCGGAGCCGAACAGAGCGAGCTCTGCCAGCGGGGCGGCCCGTGGTGCCGTTTGCTGATGTTAGAGGGGACGAGCGGTGGGCGGCAGAGGCCCGGGGGTCTGGACCACGTCCGGCACGGGACATGCCAGCAGTTCCGAGTGGAGACACGCAGCGGCTGGATGTCCAGGCCCAGAGAAGGGGTCGGGAAGATGGCAGCAGCAGCACCAGAAGTGCCAGATGAGCTCACGCTCGTCCCCGGCTCCCGGTCACAGGCAGGGACAGGAGCGCGGGGAAGGGACGTCTGTGCGCCCGTCTGTCTGCTAGTGCGGGCCACCCGCTGCACGCTCCCACTCAACGCTACCCGCGGCTTCAAAGATGAGGTGCCAGTGAGAGAGAGGCCGGGCTGGTACCTGGTAGGAGGGAGCGGCGCTGGGCGCTGGGGCAGGCTCCGGGGGCCAGCTGGTGCAGGGCTGGTACCCGCCACACCCCGCCACGCTGACAGGCCCGGGGGGCTGGGCGGCCGCGGGAAACGTCGGGGTCGCAGCAGGTCCCGGGGCGAGGCTGGCTCCGGTGGCGGGGAGGGGAAAAGCCATCGGAGGCTGGGCGCTGGAACCACAGATAAACACAGGAGCCGGCTGCATCACGGAGTTCTGGGAACGCCTTCGTGGAAGCTCGCAAGTTCCGTCAGACCCTGAACGTCGGCTGCTCGGGATGCCGACAGTAATTCTGTACTTTCTCTACCTACTAGCCTTTGTTAAGACCTTGCTAAGAGAGCAGACTTGGTTTTAAGCACTTTTTACGAATTACCACAATGTCATTAACACCTCTGTGCGTTGGGGACCCTCCCTGCCCCCGTTTTACAGGTGAGGAAAACCGAGGCACCGTAAGTGACGAAGTCAGGGCCTGAGCCCACTGGTTGACTTCTCGGCTCATCTGTGCGGGCAGCAAGCTTTATCTGGACATCGACATTCTTCTGACAAAGCTAGACTTGAATGGTATTTTGTAACCAAGGAGCCGATGGATCCCCCAATTATTGAGATACGGAAAATCAGTTAACATGAAACTAAAAACTCTTAGTCACAAGAATGAGTTTCACTGCCAGCTTGCTCTGCAGGAAGCACAGCGCTGAGGCCTTTGTCCACACCACCTCACTCTCCCCTTCCTGCCATTGAGAAGGCGCCACTGTGACCACCTGTCCCGTTTCTGAATGAGGAACCTCTGAGGACCAGTGACACAGGTCAAGTGCTTGATCCAGACCCAGATCTCTGTGACCCAAGCGCCCCCATCTGCTAAATGTCATCCTCAAAGGTAACAGTCCGTTTGTCTGAGAGGAGCAGCATCAGAGGTTTTAGCCAACGCCAGTGTGGATCACAGAAGGAAGTTGCCGCAAAGCCAGCCGAGGATGAGGCAAGGTGCGTGTGTGTGTGCCCCGGGGCAGGGGGTCCCAAGGACAGAGGCACCGCGGCCAGCACTGCTCGAGCCCCTGGTACTTCCGCACACATTCTGGACCAAAGCCAGGCATGTGGTGACGGCTCCTGTCCCTCTAAGTGGCTTGCTGCCCAGCTGGGACGACACACGGAGTGCCCTCCAGGCCGCGCAGAATGCTGAGCGTCAACCACTCAGAGTAAAGTGCAAAGGTTCCTCGCGGGAGCTGGGGGCCAGCGGAGCCTGGCGCGTCACCCCCACCAGGCACCCGCCCTCTCCTCACTGGCATCCTGGCAGCCGGAGGGGTCCTCTCACAGCGCCCCCCCCGCATCCCCTCCTGTCAGATGTCACCTCCTCCAACAAGCCCTCCCCGAGTCAGTCTAGGACGGTGGCAGTACTCTGTCCCCTCGCCCTGCTGGGGTTTTCTTCCCAGTGCCACCCGATCGCCTCTGTCCCTCCCCCGCAGGAACAGCAGCATGTCCCAAGGTCTCTCCCAGCACAGCAACAGCATCGGACACGTGGCAGGTGCTCAGTAAATACAGACGCGGAGCGTGAGCTTACAGGCGTCCCCCGGGGCACGTGTGTGGGAAACAGGCAGGTGGGGGCGGCCCCTGCGGCTCCCACCTACAGCACGCTTCTAGATTCGATTGGAGGCAGTGTCCTGGACCCTCCAGTGCCCCGCGGGCCACTCCCAAGTGCAACGCCACTGTCCAAACAACTCGAAATCCGCAGCTCTACAGCAAAAGTAAAACCCAGCTGGAAGCCAACCCTCCAAGGTAACCACTTGCACCCTACCCATCAGGAGGAACGTTTCGGTTCAAGTCAGCCACTTGTGAGACTTTTGCTTCTCAGCCTACCGTTTTACAGCCTTTCTTGGTCCAAAAGCAGATCAAGTGGATGCCTGACCGGCTCTCTGAATCCCCTCAGTGCCGAGACTTCTTTATCACAAAACGTTTCAAAGAACACGGTGCACGCCACTGAGGTGTAATAAGCGTTGCTATTTTGCCACATTTGCTTCCAAGTTTCTTTCAACAGCAAGAACTCAATCCCCTCCATCAGACCCCCTTCCCTCCCTGCCGGGACTGGCCATGATCTTTGTGCTTTTGCCACATTCGAATTGAGTCTTCATACAGCACTGTCGCTTTCCAATGTTATGCTGTGTGTAAAGCTACGTCATTACTCATCTGACCCTGCAACCTGCCTCCCCCCCCCCCCACCCCCCCCCCCCCCCCCCCGTGGGGGGGGGGCCCGGGTGGGGACCAACACCCGGGGGGGGGGGGGG